TAAATGCATCAAAATGTGTGGAAGTTTAATTAGCCAAATCGCCCAAATAAAATTAAATGACAATATGTGACCTTCTGACCTTTACTTTGAAAATAGTAGAAATGTTTGAAGGTACTTTTTACATTTTTGCAGAACTGTTTTTATTTGTGGTAATGCAATTGTGCATGTGTCTCCCAAGTGTATTGTTACCACAGTGACCTATTGAGCCACCAGCAGCAGCTTTAACTTTTCATGACTTAAATCATCAGAAAAGTAAGTTCCTGTTTACTTGCAGGATTTAGAAAATAAGATGAATTTTAGACCACAGCTGCATAAGCTTCTTCAGAACGTCTTTAGAAATTTTCCAGTTACATTTATTCTCTGTATTAGAGTTTATTTGTATTACAGCAGCTCTAAGCCTTGTGTTCTGTCAGGCTTTTTTTTTAAAGCTGCCAGACAAGGAAGAACAAAACACCGCCATAGGGCATCCTCTGACAGGGCCGATCGTGTGAATAGAAAAAAATTACAAAGCTTAGCGTAGCTTGATGTTTCTTCTTTCAGGAAAGAGCAAAAGAACCTCGTGTAACTCATTTGAACATTGTTGCAATTAAAACAAACATCAGTGAACTACTAACAACTGTTTGTGCTCAAACTTTCTTTGTTGGCCGTGGTTTCCTCAGCTCCATGTTCCCTTGTAAATCCATTTGATCAATCAGTGATGCATGTGATGTGAGCAAAGCAACAGAGCCAAAGGGGAAAATCATTTAAGTCCATCAAACCAGGCAAAAATTGGAATGAGGCGCTCAATTCTCTCTGCAATTACTCTACTGTTTTGTACCAGGAGGACAAAAGAAGAAAAGAAAAGAAGAATGCCGCGTATGCTCTGCAAATTTCTGCAGTTGAACTTCGATTTCCCCTCCACTCTGCTGCACAACTCCAGTCAAATGTAAATCAGAGACTTTGTGCACAGGTCATCTTTAATTTGCCCCAGACTTTGGCGGGGATTACCAGATCCTGCTCGTTCTGGAGAAAACATCTTGTAGATGAAGGCCTGATTGGCTCAGTGGAATCTCCTCTCTGGTTCTTCAGCACCAGCCGAGCGAGGGATGAAATAAAGGAATGGGGAAGATTACTTGTGCGGATGGCACTGAGCATCTTTAAAAAGCATCTGCGTCCCAGCGAGAGGCCACAAAGGCCGGCTCTGCGTGAATCCTCATATCTCTTGGTGGGGGGCCTCTCCCTTTCTTCCCTCTTTTTGCCATAGCTGTGTGATGCCCCTCGCTCCTTCCTACCCAAATGATTCAGCCTCGTTTCTTATTTCTTCCAGGCGTTTTTCTCCTTTTCCCCTTCCAGTTAGATCTAAATCAGCAGCAGCTATTCTATCCACTCTGCCTCTCTCGGCCCCCCTCCTCTTCCTCGTCTTCCCTGGTTTTCCAAGGTGTAAATGGCAAATATTGAGACTTGTGTCCGCATCAAAGGAGTCTTGCTGCTAGCACCAAGATTTGAAGTCATCATGTCATGTTTGCATGGTAACAGCGTGTCACTAAATGATTAACCTGGCAGGCAGGAAAAAAGGAGCAAAAAGTTATAGGAGCTCAAAAATATCAATACGCTGACTATTTCCTGTTCTAACCCAGACGTTTAGTTTTAAATCCTGTCATGAATTCTTAATGATTTAATTTTAGGAATATTTTATCATGCAAGAGCAGATAACGTAAGATTATCTTTAGAATATTTGACTTTTTTGTCCAGGTTTAAATTAATAATTTGTCACTAAGAGTTTAATTTACGTTCCAGTCTCGAGTTTTCTCAAGACTCAAGACAACTTTATTATTCCCCGAGGGTCAATTCGAGACAGCACTGTGAAGCAGCCGGCACTAAAATCTCTAAATTCTAAAAACCCATAAAACCTATACACGCATTCATGTCATAACCTCACATGTGAATGACCAACAATGAGTAAACCTTTGGCTCACACACACACACACACACGCACATGCGCGCACGCACGCACGCACGCACGCACACACACACAAATACAATGTGGGTTGAAGCATTAAAGGGATACTAAGCAGTTTTGTTTGCTTTTAGCAGCCCCTAGTAACTGAAAAAAGTGAAACTTATCTCCCTGCTGTGCGTTTGTCTTTTTAACCCCTTAATCTATCTGCTGAAATGTCTTCCCAGCCTTTATTAGTTTCTAGCAGAGCGAATCAGCTGTGTTCCTGATCTAAAACATGCAGGAAAGATACTGGAAGCAGACTGCAGTGCTGGTATGTCAGCAGGTGGTGGCCTGGCACTCTGAAGTTGCAAATGCAGTATTTTAGCCACAGAGGGTGGTAGGGGTCTGATGACATTTCATTAACCTTATAAAGAGTCATTTTAGCACATACTGGCTCAAGAAAATTATTCAAAAATATGAAAAAGTCACATAGCATTGCTTTAACTATATTCAGCAGAAGTTGCTAAATGATGTTCTCACGTATGCTGATCATGTTCATGTAATTGTAATAGATGCTGTAGGATAGAGGACTACTTTCACAGAAGAGACAAAAACTGAGAAAAACACCTTTTAAGCTGTGAGGTGAGTCACTGCTCTTCAGTTATTATTGTTTGGAATAATTATTGTTGCTATTTATACATGACGTAAAGTATTAACAAGAATGGCTTGGAGTCAGATCTTTTGATTTTTTAAACTGCTAAATGTTCTAAAATTGTAGCAATCTGTCTAAGGTACTGTAATACAAAGCTGGATGAGTCAGCAGTGGCGTCATGCATTTGCAGTCCGAGAGGATGACTGCATGAGGACTGGAAGTTTGTTCATAAAAGTAGGAAGATTGTTTTTATTTTATGTCAGATTCCAAAAGTCTTCAATAACTGCAGAAAGAGCGCTAGCATTGTTTGCTAGTCCCTAATCTTTCAGGTTTAATCAGAAGAGATGCAGTGAACTTTGCTCAACAGCAACAGTCTTGCGAGACTCGGGGTATCCGGACATTTTTCTGTACACCTAAAATGTTTTTGTCATACATTTATTTAACAATAAGCATGTTTCCACTATTGAGACTGCCAGGTAATGTTACCAGACATTCGTGGCATGTGCGTGTCTCAACTTGACCAGACCATTTCAGGGACCAACGGCACACCTGAACTGGATTTGTGGTAGTCACAGGGTGGTTTTAACTCAGCAGGAAATGATGTCACCAAAAACCGAGCTGCTGGTGAAGCGGAATGGAAGGTAAAAAAATCAGCAGAGATGATTTAAAATCACCCTTTTTAAACTCCAAATGCCACACACACACACACACACACACACACACACACACACACACACACACACACACACACACACACACACACACACACACACACAGATAGAATGTCGTAATTCACAGCGCTTTGCGGACTTGTACAGAGCGCCGTAAAAAGAGTTATTTCTTCTGGAATGACATGAAAATCCAGCACCGGGTTAATTTTTTTTATTTAGTTTTTCTGATTCAGTAGCTAACACCTCGCACCATCTTGTAGCTTTTTTGGTTTTATTTGTGCCATTTCAAATGGTTTTTATCATTCGTCACATTATCTTTATTCTTGATAGTGCTGTTAAATGTTCTCTTATTCTATTGTTTATAGTAGGATTTTTTATCCTTGATTATTTATGCTATGTTTTTATGCATTTTACCAGATTTTAATGCTTTCGTTATGTGTTGTTGATTTGTTCAAGCATTTGGCTCTTTTATGTACAGCACTTTGGTTAGCTGCCATGCTATTTTGAAATGTTGCTTTATAAATAAATTGATATGGTATGGTAATGACGATTTTTACGTCACATTGTCTCTTTCTCAGCTTCGCAAATGGATTAAAAACATTCTTTATGCTATTAATGCGCCTCTTTAGGCGTTGATCAGTAATGTCACTCACTGCCAAACCAGTCACGATACGCTAACGTCATAGCAAAGTCCCGATTTTATATGGCGAACTAAGCCAGATTTCCCTGCTACCTTCCCCCCCCTCCCAGAAATATCCCAGAACTCCTATAGTGGAAAAATGGTCGTTTATAACCAGACATCACAAACATGAAATGATCTCTGGCATTCCTAAAGCTTAGTTTTCTTTTTTTTTTTTTGGTGTATAAATCAACATGTTTATATTCTCAAGTCAAGCAATTATTTGGTTGTTCAAATAAATAATAATAATAATGCATTGAATTTATATAGCGCTTTTTTAGACACCCAAAGACGCGTTCACACACTCTCACATTCACACACTGCTAGTGATGGTAAGCTACTTGTAGCCACAGCCGCCCTGGGGAGGTCTGACAGAGGCGAGGCTGCCATTTGGCGCCGTCGGACCCTCTGACCACCACTAACACAGGCAAGTTGGGTGAAGTGTGCCCAAGGACACAACAGCAGGATACCGCTGGCGGGAGCTGGAATCGAACCCATGACCCTCCGATCATGAGGCAACCCGCTCTACCACCTGAGCTACTGCTGCCCCAGTAAATAAAACACTGTAGTTTCAGAAATATGTAAGATAAAAAAGATTTAAAACATTTGCCACCCGAGAGTGGATGATTTGTACAAAAGACACAGCTAAAGGCAAACCCTGAAGGTATTTTACTTTTAATTTGCATTTCCCAACATTTCGTGGTCTGTTTTAGTGTGATTATTTTAGCATTTCTACCTTAAAAGAAGCTGAGAGAAAAATGTAGCACCCTGTCAAAAAACATATTCATGCAAGCTAAATGCAAGGATTAAAAAAATTGGATTTAAACGTGAAGTACATTAATGTAGCATTTCCCCTCCTATTTGCATCCAAACCTGCAGCTCTGATGGTCAGACCCACTGGTGCGCCACTTTTTGGGAAGTTGTTGTGACGTTTGAAATGCTAGCTTATTTCACGGTGACAGCTCTGAAAGTGCAGCAACCACCTCTGCTGAAAGCAGGCGGAGCTTTGTTTAGCTGTAAGAGTGATGCAAACAGACGGAATTGAAGGTTCGCCGTGTGAGTTGGAGAGTTAGCACTCACCTGGATCAACGTCAGGTCTTCGAGGTTGAGCCTGAAGAGGTGATTTCTGGAAAAATGGGGGGAAAAAAGAGTTGGAGACATATTTCTGTTCCAAATGAGCCAAGTTGCCAATCTACAGCCTTTTAATCCTCGTGAAGCTCATAACCTCGTGTTTTTCCTAACAAGCTTCACATCAGGTTAGAGAAAATACTCACTCCTTCTTTACATGTGCAGAAGATTTCAATAAAAACACTCTTCCTTCAGCAGTGAAACAAGTCTTTTACTGAGTTATAAAAATGCTGTTAAATTCATTGGTCCTTTAAAACCCGCGCTGAAATAAATGATGGATAAGGAGATTTAGCTGGACTATAATTAGGACAGTCAAAATGACTAGATAAAGCCTCTTTCTTTGCTGTAAGCTTTTTAAAAACTGAAAGATGATTAAAGTCAGGCAGAGAAACTTCTAAATTAGCAGGCTAAAAATAGAGCTATTTTACAGCTTTTCCACAAGAATTTTAAGAAACACGGTCCAGTGAGGAGACGCATTTTACATCTGCATTTTCTCTAGAGTTTTCTTCTAAGATTTAATTGAATGAAGCATCAACTGGTTTTAATATTTAAAACAAATTGCCTATTTTACAAAAACAGCAGGTAAAGCTTTGTGGGACTTCTGAACAACTCTAAAATTGATCCACTGCTCAACACACTTTTCTATGTATAAAATATGTTGAGCAATCCTGGCAGAGAAGTGACAAACAAGTCATTTTTCATGTTAGCAATCATTTCTTTTAAACTAGATATCTAGTTCCATCATCTTCACACACACATACACACACACACACACACACACACAAACACACACACACACACACACACTCATGCGCGTGCATTTAAAGGGCATTTCACGAAGATTCACCGGTCTCCGGAGGAGCAGCCATCACACAGGTCTCGATGTGGCCATTGCCTCCTGTTTTACTGTATTGATATTTACATCGATCCCGCTTTCCTTCCATTATCTCTCATACTTCCAATCCAACCTGCTACCATCAATCTGTTCACATTATCTGTCACAGGCAGACACTTCGCAGCTGCTGAGGTGGGTGCCACGAAGAATTTAACTAAACCTCTTATTTCTGCAGAACAAGTGCGTAAAGATAAAACCATCTGATTATATAATATAATGTAATGTAATATAGAATAATATTACATTATTTCAGTAGTTTCCATTTCCTTTTTTTAGCTTTAGCATTTTTCTTACTAAGCTTGTTATGCTCCTTTTCCCTCTACCTGTTTTTCTGCTCCCTCACCAGATGGTTTATCTGCTGCCGCTTGAACACCATGTTGTTACGGTTCTTCCCTACCAACACCTAAAATCATTAAACTGAGTCTCTGCATAAATCTACATTCAAATAAAACCGTGCAAGTTAGTGTCTTCCCTAAACGAATGGCGAATTTCAGTCGTAAACCCCAAAAAACAAGCGCCTCGCACTGATTAATTCTAGTTTTATTCCAACCGAGACCAGAATTCGCCACATTCTTAACGTAAACTAACTCATTTCCTTCAAACTTCAAATTCTAGCTAATAGTTTTTTTTCCACATAATGAACTGAGTCTCAGAAACATTACCATCTGCACATATATATCTAACTATAATATGCAATATAAGCTCACACAAACACAAACACACACACACACACACACACACATACACACACATTTGGCTGCACTTCTAAAACACAATGGACTTGGATTTCCAAAGCCATCTTTCTTTGGCCTCTGAAGACATCTATAAAGAAACTGATCATTACTCATGCAACGCAGAAACAAACACCATGAGAAAGAAGAATAGAAGACAACACAATATGAGAAAAGGGCAAAGAAGAATTGAAAAAATGAAGCCAGAAGGGACTGAAAGAGAGAAATACAAAAACAATGTTGTATTCGGGTTACCTGGCACCAACAATCAGCTCGTTCTGGCCGGGGTCAAAGGTCAGCTGTGAGTAATCCACCGTGCCCTCGGCTTTGAACCTAAAGATCCATGACTCCATCTCTGTAAAAACACCAGAGAATACAGCAACGGTGAGCCAGCAACCAGTTTTCATGTCTGGATTATTTAAAGCAGGAGTTCTGAACTTTTAAGGGTCAATGTCCTCCATCATGGGTAAAATTTTTCCAAGGACCCCCTTCAATACTGTGGCCAGGTTCATCTTTTTTTTTTTTTTGTTTTCTGGGGTGTGTGATCTTCACCCTTTTGCATCTACTGTTTCTAAAGTTTGATTCATCTATTGTTTAACTCATGTGAGATGCATCTTTAATGTCATTGGCTTCATTGCCTTCATTTGCTGGACTTCAAGAGACACACCACATTATGGTTTTCCATCGTCATCCTTGATAAATCCAGGATCAAGATAACCGTGTTCATACGTTTCATTTTAGATAGGTTCGCTTCGCATTACTTGATGAAGTGAACAGACTTCAAAATGTGTTCATTGTGCAATAGCCCAACACAATGAGTCTCCAGGTTTCTCTATGAGTGTTCCATGGACCCCCAATTTATGATTCAGGGACCCCATTTTGAGGACCACTGACTTACTTCTAGGGAGATTTGTGTGGAAAACTTCTGCAGTTACTTATGGCAGAAGTAATCGGAATAAATGCCCTGTCAGATAAAAAATTCTTCATGTAAACATGCCAATCAGAATATTCTGATCCAATATGGCCCGATCAGAATCATCTTTCATTCCAATTGAGAGAGGTGGTTTTGTGAATTGTTCCATGTTTAACATGAAATGTGACAGCAAGCTAGCTCCACTGCTAATTTACAACCACAGAACCCTATTTGAATAAAAACACGTTAGCATAGCATTATGGTCCCAAATTTGAGCTAAAACAAAAGTTGACCTGGTTGAATTTAGACTTTCTTCCCAACTGTTTTCAAATGTTGGAATATTCTGGTTCCACCACCATTTTTAGTAGCTGGTCTATTAACCCTCCCACTGTCCTAATGGGTGTGACCCCGTGAGGAAAGTTGACCATTGAGCAGGATTGATGGTTTATCCCTTGGGTCTATGTGGCAGGGGAGAGGAGTGAGTACCACCTCACCACTGCCACATGGATCTCAAGGGATAAACCATCAATCCTGCTCAATGGTCAACTTCCCTCGTGGGGTCACCCATAAAGACAGTGGTAGGGTTAAATTAAGTTGACTTAAAAATTGTTAAAAAGGTCTACTCTTATTTACAAGATAAGTAGCCACTACATACAGACATTTGCTATAATCTCACATTGCAAACACATTGTTGGGGGACAACTTTTGGTAAATCAATACAACTGACCATAAAGAAGAAGATAGAAAGATGGAAATAATTTCTTTGTAGAACATGTTTTAAAATGGAAAATATTTGTTTGTCTTGTTTATAAACCCTCCTTCGCACAGATTAACATTCACAGATATCAGTGTTTCACGCACGCCTTGTTTTTAGATCTCCTCAACAAAAGGACCATAAAAGATGAAAATCTCGGCTCAGCAGGAAGTACTTTGATTCTCTTTATCAACTTCTCATGATTCAAAGGCTTCAAGGAAGTGTATACTTTACACAGATCATGAAAAGGGATGAAATTCACCATTTTTCTGGAGCCTGAGCTTACCCTTGTGCTGTAAGGAGTATATACAGACATAAAGAGAGACAGATATCCCAGACAGACACTGACATCTTATCCACAACAGGCTTGTTCTCTTGGCGCCCAACCCATTAACCCCTAACCAATCAAATCTAACGACAGGGACGGCCTGTCTACTGTCTGGTTACCCGATAGGTTCAGTGAAGGGTGGTCAAACAGCCGTGTTCTCCATCGCTCATCACTTTCTCGATCCATAGTCACAATAATCTGAGTCAGAATCACTGTACACACAGGTTGGATTACACTTCAAGGGAGAAACATCTTGTACGGGACATTTTCTCCTGAGAGGGACGTCAGAACTCATAATCAAACGCTGGATTCTTTTTCTTGTTTGCTGCAGTGATTTCAAATCCCTCATTTCCACATTTGTGAGCTATTTACAGACTAAACGTTTCAAAGGGATGATGGGTTTTCTTTTTTCATAATTTTCCAGGGAGCTTTCCATCATGGCCAGAACAGAGGGAGAGGACAGCTTGAAAATCCTCCTAGAAACACATTATCTGCTTCCTCAGGCACACCTGTCACACGGTGTTTCAAATGAAAGAACGCTCTCCCTTGACTGCATCAAAAGCAAACTACTTCCAGTTTTCAGTGACAAACGTGGGATTTCGGAGCGGTTCAAAACCAAGACAAACAGAGCAAAGAATAAAAAAAAGGAGCCTCCGAAGAACATCTGCCTCCTCCAACTCACGTACTGGGACCAAACCCCAACTCTGGGAACAAAACATTATCATCTGCTAGGAGACAGCGCCACAAATGCAGAGACAGGTTCCCTTGTTATTTCTCTAATCTCCAGAGGAACATACGAAGAAATGACAGAACCCGATGTCTGCCCTCTAAGTATCTAACTAATACATTTTAATTAGCCACTGAGGTCACGACTGACTTTCCCCGAAAGATTTCCTTTTTGTTAACGGATGCTACTCTTCTGATTTTATGGGGAGGCACTAAGTTTAATATCTGCAAATGCTTTGGCTCCACTGAGCTTGTTTCACACCATGAAGAGGATCCTTGGCATACAAATATAGACGTGACACCACCCCCCAGAGGGAGAGAGGACGGTACTTGACAAACCCCAGCTTTTCCCCATAAATCTTCCAGACTCTCACTAGGGGAGGCCTGGCATCGGGGTGATGGAGTGTGTCAGAGAGAGACACACAAAGGGAGAATACTTGTTGGTAGTTTGCAAAAAGGGGGCAAAAGGTTCTAATTGACCACAACAGCCTTCGAAGGATTTATGGCCTCTGTGACGAGGCCAAGGAGCCATTCATAAACATTCATAACCAGAATGGATGGGCCCTCCCAAGGCTGCACAGCTGAATATACACAGTTTCCGAAAGTCACATTCACTGGAGTTAGGTCGATTGTTCTTTGTCCGGATGCTATAACAGACACAGAACTTGTTTTTATTACTTTTTTGATTAAACATAACAGCCTATTTTAGAAGCAAAGAAGGAGGACTTTCAGGATGCAGAAACACACCAACAAATCAAGCTCATCGTTAAGCAAGAGGGAAGGAAACGGGACAACCGTCCAGCTGATTAGCATACAGTATGGCCCATCTCAGCTCCTAGATTTCATTGCTGCTTTTAAATGTTGCATGGATTCACATCAGCTTCATGTTAAATGCATGTGATAATGTAATCCCATCACGGCCGTGAAAGTGCTGACCCAAAAGGAAGACAGGGGGTGGATTGGCTGTTGAGACAAAGGCATGATTTTGTGCGGGCACAAGCAGAGACTGGGATGTAGACTCAAAAAGGAGCCAAGTTTCATTGCCAACACGAAACCAGCGAACACGCATCAAATGCAAACCCCCTGTTTTCCTCACCCTCAACTTATTCCCTTAAACCCTTAAACTCCCACTGCCTCCTAACAAAACAGCCCATCAGTCATGTGGCGTTTTCTTATTCCCCCGTCTGACACGGAGCACTTGACACAAAGACAAAATGACAGGGTATATAAATATTTACAACAAGCATCAGAGGACACGCCAGTCTTCAGTCCGCCAGCCCTCAAAGTTATGGCTTTACAGGTCCACCAAGACCAGCATCAGTGACAAAACGTGGAACCAATTTGGGATGTTTTTTGTGTGTGGTGGGAACTACATCACATAAATGAACAGCTAATTCACTCTAAATGGCAGCTGGTGGTGATTTGGTGCATTAAGACTGGCAACCACACTGGTGTAAGGCAACGGTGGGTCAGAAAACAAAATGCAAGGTCATTTTAGACTTCCACACACAAGGTTCCCTTGTGTTGTGTCAAGCATGGCAAAATAAGCACATTTTACAGCTACAAACTCAGATTGCCAGTGCCCTGCTGTGGCCCTGGGGCAGTGAATGAATCATGCAAAACAAACCACTGTGAAGCCACAAATAAGGATACACCAAAATCTTTAAGTCTCATGTGTATTTTAGGGGTGAAGTCATCTGGTTGTGGAGGTTTGCAGGAGATGAAATGTGCTTTTGACACGATGACCAAATGCTTTCAGCCACAAGAAAGAAAATAATCATTTGTGCAGCAGAAACGAAGGAAGTCCGGTGTACAAGCCTCTTTTTGTTCCAATAACAGCTTGTCATCAATTAAAAATAACATGGCTAGAACATGGTTGACCTTGGTGGATAATAGGGAGATGCTATTGTTTTTTTTTTCTGCAGATTTAAAAAAACTGATCACCCCCCCCAAATATCTAATTAAAGCCTCCCTGATTGGCGCTGCAGCCTGTTGCATTTATGAATGCTGTGAGGCCATTTGTTTGTTCTCCTGTTTTCATTCCCATCTTTCTGAGGACGTGTTAGCTGCTCGGGGATGATAAAAGCTGAACTCGTTCTGTTGGCTGTAAAACAAGTCTGTCGCTCGCACTCATCGGAGATATGGCCCCCGGCCTGGCCTATGAAAGGCATTGTTTACACCATAGTTTATACCCTATAAAATCCCTCAAGCCTGCATACGCTGGAGCAGTTGTTAAAACAACACCTTATTAACGTCTGCCGCTTTACAACAGCAGTTAGAATAACACTACAAATGCTCTGTCAAATACTTATTGCCAAAACATACTAACCCAGAGCCCCACCTGGTCCCAAAAAATGACCGACATTTACTCTGGCCCCTCTGCTGAAGCTATTTTTTATCTCTGTTTTCACAAAAGTACAAAAACTGTATCATTAGGGTAAACGTTTAGAGTGTTGCCATTGAACTGTATAGTGCACATTCTTTTTTTCCCCCTCTAAAACCCAACATTTCTGAAACCGCCACACAAAGCAGAAAGCAGCTGTTAAACTACAGCGTGCAACTCTGTCGGCAAAGTCAGAAAACCATGATCGCCGGCGGGGTCTGACCCAAGTGAGGCACGCCCTTCCAGTCAGG